TTTGGTGTGTAAGTCTACTGAAAAAAATTACTTAAAATTTTTGCCTTTTATAATTCAGTAATTCCTCCCCCCTCCCCATACCTTAAATTACAGGTTTTTCACAAAGGGGGGTGTTGAAAAATTTTCCATTCCTTAGGGGGGCGGCAGCTTCAAAAAGGTTGAGAATCACTGATTTAGATAATTGGAGCCAGAGCATAGCCACCTTGCCTGATCATATAGGGCAGACAGAAACAATTGGAGAAAGGAAGCCCCATAAATAGTCAGGCTCTCAACTGGCTTTAGAGATGACAATCAACATTTGAGCTGTACCCAGAAGCCAGCTGATACACAGTGCAGCCCACGGAGCAAAGGTGTCACATGGATGTGCTAAGGTGTACCCAAACTGATTTTGCAGCTGCATTTGGACCAACTGTAGCCTCTAAGTGGTCTTCAAGGGCAGCCCCATGTAGAACTCATTGCAGTAATCCACAAGAGAACTATATTAATATAGGCATGAGTCAATATAAGAAGGTAGTATTCTTCCATTTCATCTTGCAGTTCTGAACAAAAATGATAATTTCATTGAAGGAATTGAATCTGATGGTTTTTATTTCAGTAATGAAAAGTAACAGAAGCATTATACGCATACATTTCTTTTGACCCCATCTCTTTTTAAAGATGTTTATAGCAATTAACATTTAAAAGTGCTTCAGCCAAAGATCCTCCCCTTACTAAGTTACATTAAATTCTGTGCATTCTTTATTAACTTCAGTGAGATATTTGAGAACCAGTGTAGTGTGGTTCTTCAGGTGTTGGACTGGCACCAACAAGACCCAAATTCCTCAGCCAAGGAAGCTCTCTGGATACTTTGGCTCAGTCACCTTAGCCCAAGGTGGGGGTAGTCGGAGGAAATTGGAGGGAGTGCTATGCATGCTACCTTGAGTTCCTGAAGGAATAGCAGGGTAGAAATCTAAGAAACATTTATATTCTCACCTAGAATTGTGTTCAATAAAGGTAGCTCAAATATAGATGTCTACTTTATATTATTGTGGCTTACCCTGTTCTGGAATTTTTTCAGTATTGATATGCCATAGAAATCATGTTTTCTTTATTTTTTTGTGCATGTACCACTGATATACATTACTTGATATGTTTATTTATCAATTGGGACTGTATGCTATACCTACACCTTATACTAAATCAAATATAGGAGCTATTGGAGTATAAGTATTCCGGTAGGTTGTATGGATGGGGCTAGAGCCACTTTTTATTATATATGTATAATGTACTTATTTTATAACTATTTTATTATTGGGGAGTGTTGGCTGCATGTTTGCACTCTTGGCATAAAGCTAAAGTAGGGTGGTTTGTTTTTATATGTTGTATTTTGTAATGTTTTCATGATACTCTTTTTAGATAAAATTCCAATGGAAAACCTACATTTCCTTTTTGAACTAGAAGCGGGAGCACCCAGGTTCAAATCCACATTTGACCATGGATGCTCATGGGGTAGCTTTGCGCCTGTCACTGGGTGTGTTCATATGACACCGTGAACCAGAAACTAGCCAACCATATCTTAGTGTAGTATGAATCCAGTCTGTGGGGTTTGTTTTATTGTTTTTATTGTGGTGCAAGCCTAGTAACTTCTATCAATTGAGTGAACCATGGGAAAGTGGACTATGATTAAGTATGGTATGAACACAGCCACTATCTCTTAGTCCAGCTAACCTTACAGGGTTGCTGTTGACAGCATGAAATTGGGGGGATTGGGGTACTAAGTACATGACCCTGAGTTCCTGGAGAAAAGGAAGAATATCTATGTAATGAATACATACATTTTAAAAG